CAATAGGTACCACTTCGGTGGGAAGGTAACAGCGTTCCGTGCGCCTTGGTGTTTAGTCATGCCAGCCACATGACCACGGAAATGTTTTCGGACAATGCTGGCTCTTCGGCTTTGAAACGGAGATGAGCACCGCAACCCTAGAGTCAGATTCGACTGGCTTTCAAGCAGGGAACCTTTACCTTTACCTTTATGTATCTTTAAGAAGAACAGTAGAAGAAGAAGAGATTGGATTTATTCCCCGCCGAAAGAAAACCGAAGCTGAAAACCAACTGGTCTCCCTGTCATCTCCCTCCCACCCGACATGGAAGCCAGCCCTTGATTCCCCCCCACCCCGCCCCACCCCAGCAACATAATAAGTGTTCAGGCCCTGGCTAATCTCTGACTGCCTTCACCATGGAGGTTCTGGTCAGGGCGCAAAGGCGGGATGAGAGGTCAATGAATCCCACCGGCGTGGCAAAGCCGGAGTACACACAGGGAAAGAAAAGGAGTTAATTTTAAAACTAAATAGATTAAAAAAAAAAACCCCGGCCATTGTGCGCTGTTCTTTCTTTCCTCTGGCAAGTCTTTTTCAGGCCGCCTCCAGGCCGGCCCACCACCACCCTGCCTCTGTGGTTGTTCCCTGATGGGCCTTTTCTTGACCTTTTTCTGCCTCTGTGAATGGAGGGGGGGGAACCACCCATGAAAGGGGCACGGAACATTTGCTGGGCTGTAAAGGTTTTGCAAGATCTCAGCACGTCTCAAGCACTAAGGGGGGGGGGGGATTTCTTATCCAATGGAGAGCTAAGAGGAAAATATTCTCTGCCTCGGGGCGCAAAGAGAGTCTGAAGTTGTTTTCCCAGTTCAGTGTCGCTTAGTCGCATTTCCTAGTTCTTCATTTGTGAATCTAACAACAATAAGAACATAAGAACATAAGAGATGCCAATGTTGGATCATGCCAAAGGCCCATCCAGTCCAACACTCTGTGTCACACAGTGGCCAGAAATACCAGGGGCCATCAGGAGGTCCACAAGTGGGGCCAGGACATTAGAAGCCCTCCCACGGTTGACCCCCCCCAAGCACCAAGAAGACAGAGCATCCCTTACCCCAGAGCCTCTATCTATACCTTGTGGCTAATAGCCACTGATGGACCTCTGCAATTAGAGATGTCAGTCTCCAGGTGGGAACTGGAGATCCCCTGGAATTACAGCTCATCGCCAGACTACAGAGATCTGTTCCCCTGGAGAAAATTGATGTTTTGGAGGGTGGATTACATGGGATTGTGCCCCACTAAGGTCCCTGTCTTCCCCAAGCTCTATTCACAAATTTCCAGGAGTTTCCCAACCTGGGTCTGGCAACCCTACACTTCTTCATCCCTCACTGGTGGCCAAGGGGAACCTGCCAACCCTACCACAAGTACTGAGGACAATTTAACAGGTCCGCATCCTAAAAATAAGGTTTTGACTGCCATGTGTCATACACCCTCACATTCAAGGGACTCTGCCCTCCAAGTGGACTTATGTTGTTCCCCGGTCCAAAGCCCAGGTCTTGTGCCAACTGCTCCAACGTGGGATGCCCCCCCAAACAATCTTTAAGGTAAAGGTTTCCCTTGCTCGAAAGCCAGTCGAATCCAACTCTAGGGGGTGCTGCTCATCTCCGTTTCCAAGCCGAAGAGCCAGCACTGTCCGAATACTTCTCCGTGGTCATGTGGCCGGCATGACTAAACGCCGAGGCGCACGGAACGCTGTTACCTTCCCACCGAAGTGGTACCTATTTATCTACTTGCAGTTTCTTGCTTTCAGACTGCTGGGCTGGCAGGAGCTGGGGCCAGAGACGGGAGCTCAGTCCATCAGACGGCACTCGGGTCTCGAACTGCAGAACTACTGACTTTCCGGTCTGCAGCAGAGCGTCTTAACCTCAAAACAATCTTTGGACCACCACAAATCACACATCCCTATACTCCAGAGACTGTCCCCTGCAAGAGGACATGCACTGGTGCCCGATCCATACAAGTTCTGGTACCACAAGCGTCTCTTTGGGTTGCCTCCAGGAAACTTGTATTTCAAATAAGATTTGAATAAGGAAATGGAATGGCTGCATGCCCTCTCTACCCCAGGAAAGGTGTTAGCGGGCACCGCTGTCTAACCATACTACACAGGCGAGAGACACGGCAACAGAGAGTCTGTGCTCAGATCTCCCATAGCTCATTAAAAAGTTAAAAGCAACTGTGGTCGTTGGATCAAGACTGTGGCACTGGGGAAAGAGGGGATTGAGTTTTTCCCTGGTGCCCTTAAATCACACCCTCTTCCTACCAACACACATTTTCCGTACAGGATAACTAGCAACTTCGTGTGGGATTTGAATCAGGGTCGTAGCTGAGTGGCTCAGTGGAAGAGCCTCTTTGAATGCAGAAGGTCCCAGGTTCAGTCCCTGGCGTCTCCGAATAAAAAGGACCAGGCAGTAGGTGATGTGCAAGACCTTGACCCGAGATGTTGGGGAGCTGCTGCCAGGCTGAGTAGACAATACTGACCTTGACGGACTGGTGGTCTGATTCAGCGTAAGGCAGCTTCATGTGAGTTTCATCCTATATAAATATAAATATAGAAAAGAAACTTGAGATTTCAAATCCACTCAAGGATCAGGTAAGGGGGTGATGTGCGAGACATCTACCTGAGACCCTGGGGAGCTGCTGCCAGCCTGAGTAGACAATACTGCCATTGATGGACCAGTACTGACTTTGATGGACCAGTGGACTGATTTGGTGTAAGGCAGTGTTCAAAAGGCTACAGCCGTGGTCCAGTTCAGCGATTCCTGCATCCAGAGGTCATTTCGGGGGGGATCGCGGGGGATCGCAGTTCCCCCGGGTGAGGTACGGGGGGGCACATGACGAAGCCCTGCCCCCTGCTTCTGGCCACCCCGCTTCCGGCCCTCATTCAGCCAGGAGGAGGCAGGAGAAGAGGGAGGGTAAGTTGCTTCCTCCCTGCCTCTCCCCACCCCTGCCTGCCTGGGGCCAGGGAGGGCCTTCGCGGGGCTTCCTTGCACTCCCAGGGTGTGTGGCCTTATGACACACTTCCGGTGATGTCAGGGGGTGTGGCCTTATGACACACTTCCGATGATGTCAGGGTGTGTGGCATATGCTAATGAGTAATGCCAATGAGTTCCCCTAGCTCTTTTTCTACAAAACGACTTCTGCCTCCATCTACTTCTAATTTAATCTAAAAACTCATAAGAGATCTAATTATAGATTTCTTTTCACCTCTCCCAGCTAATGCAAGCCTGGGTAAAGGTAAATGTTTCCCTCACTCGAAAGCCAGTCGAATCCGACTCTAGGGTTGCGGTGCTCATCTCCGTTTCCAAGCCGAAGAGCCAGCATTGTCCAAAGACGTTTCCGTGGTCGTGTGGCCGGCATGACTAGACGCCAAGGTGCACGGAACGCTGTTACCTTCCCACCGAAGCGGTACCTATTTGTCTACTTGCAATTTCTTGCGAAGGTCAAAGAAGACGGGGACGGCAAAGGATGAGATGGTTAGACAGTGTCATCGATGCAACGAACATGAAATTGAGCCAACTTCAGAGGATGGCGGAAGACAGGAGGGCCTGGCGGGAGATGATCCATGGGGTCGCGAAGAGTCGGACTCGACTGTGCGACTGAACAACAACAAAAATTTCTTGCTTTCGAACTGCTAGGTTGGCAGGAGCTGGGGCCAGAGACGGGAGCTCACGCCGTCATGCGGCAACGCGGGTCTTGAACTGCTGAACTACCGACCTTCCAGTCTGCAGCTCAGTGTCTTAACCACTTGAGCCACTGCCGCCCCTTAATGCAAGCCCCCTTTTCCTCCCCTCTCCTTTGGCTGGCAGGGACTTCTTTGTGTGCTCCACCCGCATATCTTTTAAGCACTTTTATAGACATTAAGTGATGACATCTTGCAGTTAAGCACTGAAAATAATTGCTAGAGCAACACCCTGGCACATTTTACACAGGCACGCGTGTGAATTAGCTTGACACCATTTGTTCCAGTCACAGGAAATTGGGTCACAATTTTTAATAAATGCCTATGTGTGACTAAAGATCTTGGAAGTGTCTGTGTTAACATTGTCGCCTCTCTGCCGCATGTTTGCTCCTTTCAGCCAGAACTGGGGAAGCCACGCCGAAGCTGCTACACTCTCCCAGGTTACGATTTCAATTACGGGTTATATCTGCGCGGGACTGACGGAGGGGTACCGGAAGGTATGTTCCTAGGAACGTGTGAACTTCCCTGTTGATTTCTGCTGATGTTTTTTGTCTGCCTTCGTGGTGAAACCATCTTGGGGCGGAAGTAGAGGTGCAGTCTTCACACATCAGTGATTTCTAGTGGGGGGCCAGCACTGGGTTGGGAGATTTGGGGAGTGGAAACTGGGGAGGACGGGGTTTGAGGACGGGCGGGACCCCGGCAGGGAATACCGTCACGGAGTTCGCTCTCCGAAGGAGCCATTTTCTCCAGGGGAAACGATCTCGGTGGTCTAGAAATCACTTGTAATCCCAGGAGGTCTCCAAGGTCCATCTCCAGTTGAAAGGACCAGGTAGTAGGCGATGCGAAAGGCCTCTGCCTGAGACCCCGGAGAGCCGCTGCCAGTCTGAGTAGACAGCCCTGACTTTGATGGACCAAGGGTCTGGTTCAGGATAAGGCAGCTTCATGTGTTCAAGGTTGGCAACCCTATCTGAAGCACAGGCTGATTTCTAAGCACTCCACTGGAAGTACATTATCCATCCTGAGCAGGGGTCATTTCGTAGAAAAAGAGCTAGGGGAACTCATTAGCATAACTCATTAGCATATGCCACACCCCCTGACATCAGGGGCCCGGCGGTGGACCTGCAAGGCCAGCGGGATTGCGAGGAAGCCCCGCCAAGGCCCTCCCTGGCCCCAGGCAGGCAGGGGTGGGGAGAGGTGGGGAGGAAGCAACTTACCCTCCCTCTTCTCCTGCCTCCTGGCTGAATGAGGGCCGGAAGCGGGGCGGCCGGAAGCAGGGGGCGGGGCTTCATCATGTGCCCCGCCCCCCCCTGCACCTCACCCGGGGGAACTGTGTTCCCCTGCTTCACCCACCGAAATGACCTCTGATCCTGAGCCCTCAGAATAGGGGAGGGATATAAATGTATATAATCTAATCTGCTCCGTGTTGCACAAAAAGTTGTGCAAAAAAATTACGATGCTTCCTAGGCTCCAACCTCCCTCCTAAGTTCCATAGTTTCTGCAGACTCGTTGCCTGTCTTGGGGGACGGACGGTTGATTCCCCACGCCTTCATTTGCAGCCAGCTGGGTGACTTTGGGTCAGTCACAGTCAGTGTTCCCTCTAAGCTCACAGTTTTTTAGCCTCTGGCTCACACAATTTTGTCTTAGCTCAGGAAGGAGGGCTCCAAGAGCTAACTAACTTATGCAGTAGCCAAATCGCTCGCTCACAGCTTTAATGCCAGGAGCTCACAAAGCAGAATTTT